AAAAAAAAAAAAAAAAAAAAAAAAAAACCCTAATTGTGAAACGCCGCCGCCACATGGGGTGAGAACTCGCCGGCAAGAAACTCAAATGGGTTGTGCTCCATGATCAAGGAGAGCCCATCTTCTTTTCATAAATGGGTATATGATGAAATTTTCTGAAAAAATTTTGATAAAAAAAAGGGAAAATTGGAAGCTTTTTACAAAAAATCAGATTTTATGTTTTTTTTTTTTTTTTTTTTGTTAGAATTTTAAAATTTTAAATAAAATATTAAGTAATTAAGGAGACTATTATTGATTTGAAACATTTTTTTTTTATAAATTAAAAAAAAACATATCTGATACTTAATTAATTAATTGTTGGAATTACTAAATTGGGTGTTCTTCGAATGAACCAAGACCCTTTTTTTTCCTTTTTATTTTTAGTTTTTATAAATATGACAACCAAAAGTACATTTAATTAAAGCAATTTCTATTTTCATGTCCTGTCATTTGTTTTATTATTTTCCTCGAATAAATAAATTTTCCAACAAGTACATGTCGTTTATAGAATCAATCCTATAATCTTCGCTTTTTCTTCATTATTTATTTATTTCTTGAAATATCTTTTAGCTAAATTTTGCATTGATAAAAGAAAAAAAAAAAACATTCTTCATTCTGAGAATATGATATTTAAATAAATAAAACACATAGTGATTGGATTACTTTTTTAATTAAATAAACTAATATTTCCATTTGATAAAGATTCTGTTTAAAAATAAAAAAATAAAGTTTTTAGTAATATTTATTGGTGATTGTTGTCAACATCATTTCAAAATTTGGGGCATTATCTTTTTGTTAGAAAGTCTTTTTATGAGCAACTTTTTTTTATAACGTCTAAATTTTTATTAAAGAGAAGTATTAGTAAGAATGATGAGTTGTAAGAACATTGATTCATTGTTAAATATTAATTAATCAACTTGGGGTGTATTATTGCTTCACTATGGTTGAATTTTGAAACTAGGAGACGTAGTCAAACCCATAATCCATTAGTATGTTGCCAATATAAAGATTTTGTCTCTCTAATCAAAGTCAACATCCTTTATAGCCCATGTCAGATCAAATGTTAGTCGAAAAAGGGTACAAAATATTTTTATAGTGACGTAGAAATCTAAATCCTAAATCTCTCTCTTGTAGACACGTTTTAAAATTGTAAGACTGATGACTATATGTAACGGGCCAATGCAGATAACATTTGCTAGCGGTGAATTTGAGCTGTGTTACAGACAAAGTCCTAAAATTTGAAGTATGAAAGTCGCCCGTATTGTAAATTGTCATGAAGATGTATTGTCTTAACTCTCTTCTAAATTTATAACATGTTCATAAGACTTGAATCATCCCTATATAAAGGGTTGTCTAAGATGGTTGAGAGTATTGAGTTTGATTGAGTTAAAGTATCATTTTGTATTTGTTGAGTGACATTTAGGAGACACTTCTATTAGAGATTTTGTAGTCTGAGATATACACTTTGATTATTGATATTGATTGCTACATGTGGATGCAAGGATATTGATTGCTACGTGTGAATACAATCAAACTTGCCTCTACTTTTGGTACTACCACCCGCAATAAGCCCGATACTTGAATGCCATTTCCATGTCTCTCCCTCTATCAAAAGCACGATCTCGTAGTTTAGCGATAATTAACACGAAACGATGAGACATGAGGGTGATGCGAGGCTACTTTCCTCCGGCGGCCGCTCCCTGATCGCGGACTGAATCCTTAGCGGCAGCAATTAAAATGATACAAACAGTTAGACAAGTCAATCTCCATTGAGCTGTGGGAGTCTGTTTAGGCTGCGTGTGTGCTCTTTTCGTGGGTAACCAAATTAATGATTAAGCACAATCATGTGGTTTATACCCACATGGATATTTTAATTCAATATACAAAACAAGCCTCATAATTAAAGAAATTATTGAAATATATGGGTAATAAGCATAATATATTGAGGACATTTATATCGGTGTCGTGGTTGAACTAAAAGGGGGGGAAGTTGGCGGAGTGGATATCCATTATAAGGGAGCACTGTAGGCGGTGACCAGAAGGCACGTGCATGGTAAGGGAAGGGGGTAGGGGGCCGACTGCCGAGGAAGGGAAAAGGCAAAGGAAAATGGGTGGGCGTTTGGAGGATTGGATGGGAAGCCCCAGGGAAGTCCCGAAAGTCGCGCGCTAAAAACGGGGCCTGGGCTGCGCTTAGGGTTTGAAGCGTTGGGAAAAGACAAGTCAGGGACTGGTAACTACTACTACTACTACTTCACTCCATGTTTGGGCTGTGCACTGTAGAGCGCAGTGGGTGCGTGCTGTTCCTTCTTCTCTCGCACCTTCCCCATGCTCCTTATTATAATACGTGCTGTACTGATGGTCAATACGCTCCATCCCCAGGTGTTTTTTCCCTTCATTTTTTCCCCATTTCCCAATTGCCTCTACCTTTACCTCTCTCTCTCCTCTGCCACCTCTATCAACCTTCGCTGTAAATTTAACTCTCTTCCTACCTTAATTCACTTCCGGAATTTTTTTTTTTTTTTTCTTCTGTATGTTGTTTTGAGGCTTATGGAACTCTCGAACAGCCTCCCCTTAATTGAAATTCGACTCCTTTCTTTGGAGCTCTCGAACAAAGTACACACTTTAATAACTTTTTGACTACACCTTCGAGGCTCACAATCTTTGTTCGATATTTGAGGATTCTATTGTCATGGTTAAGTTTAGGGCATGACTCTGATACCATGTTAGGAATCACGACTTTCCACAATGGTATGATATTGTCTACTTTGAGCATAAGCTCTCGTGGCTTTGTTTTGGGCTTCCCTAGAAGGCTTCATCCCAATAAAGATGTATCCCTTTACTTGTAAACCCATGATCATTTCCTAAACCAACCAACATCGGACTCACTCCCAACAATTCTCGACAAGAATTGCTCTAAGCAAAACATGCTTAATTATAGAGTTTCTATCGTTGAGCCATTGAAAATAAAGGTGCATATTGTTGATATATATAATAACTTTCAATTGTTTTGAATATTTCTTAGTTATCCTATTCTCAGAATCACTCTCATTTAGATGTGTTCTCCGTTTATTTATGTACTTTCGAAATATTTATAATATTCTATTTCAAATACATCAATTATTTTCATTTAATCACGTGGCCATTACTTAGGTCGTTATTATTAGTTGTTGATTATATGAAAGTATGTAATGGGATAGCAAAACAAAAGTAATGCCTCATGGAATGGTTTGTCATTTGAGTTGAATAGAATAAGACAACGTTTTCACGTCCGGTGAGGTGTTGACCAAGCTGTCGATAATTTACCCTAAAACATCGTATTTTAATTAGTTTTAAAATTCACAATTAAACTTATGTTTATGTGAGCTAACTAAATTCATGAGATATCGTGACATATTATGATGCAGTTGATGGTTCAAAGATTCGTAGTTTAGAATACGAGAAAGAGTTAGATTGGGGGATGGCGTTTGAGTTTGAGGCCTTTCGAGAATCAAATCATGGCGTCTTTTCTTAGAATCATATCATATGAAATGAGCTGTTAGTGTCTCATATGTGTGTCACACCCATACATTTAAGGCTTCAATTTCATGTTTGATATTTGTAGGACATGTTTTAACAGTCTACCAACTCTTTTTGTCGATATTTGGCAACATAACGGCCACCCCTATTTACTGCCCTTATATTCCCTCCAGATATATTACTTTTTCTTTCTTAATCACCAAATTAGAAATTGTCGTATTTGAAGGTATTGATGGGAACCAGACTAGATCCTCTCCATAGATGCTCTTAAAAGGAAAATCACAAATAAGACATTATCGACAAAGAGGTGTGCTAACAAGGGTGCTGACTTTTAAGGGAGTGGATTGTGAGGTCCTACGTCGGTTGAAGAAAAGAATGAAACATTTCTTATAACGGTGTGGAAACCTCTCCTAGGTAGATACTATTTAAGACTCGTGTTGTTTTGTGGGAATGTTAGAAGGAAGTATTGGAGGAGGTGTACGGGAATGTTGGGGCACGCGGGTACGAATCCAAATTTCGAAATCATGATCAAAATGATGGGCATAAGTGATTACAATTAATTCCTTAATTATACCTTTAAACTAATTGCAAAGTAAATTAGGCAGCATAGTTAATTAAGTTAATTGACACAGTAACGTATACGCAATCATTAATTCCTTAATTATTAAACTTTATTGATTATGAAAATAGGTAATGATATGGGATGAAATTCTTTAAATAAAATAGGGTTTAAATATATAAAAGTGAATTATAGAAAAATGTTTTGGAGAAGAATTGAGGCGGGACCCACCAAGTCATAATTCGTCCTTTTGATCAGTTTTATTAATATTTAATATATTTCAATGTCCAAGACTTTCTTATTTATTGTACATTTATATCTAAACGTTTAACCATTCTTTTACAAATAGTATAAGTTTTTTTTAAAAAAATGTCATTTAAAAGGTTTAATGCGATTTTTTTTAATTAATTAATTTATTATTTTTATTTTTTGTTTATGTATAGAATAAAATATTCATGTAACT